TCCTCAGAGGTATCACACAGAAAGATGGCATACTCTCTGTGTCCAGGTGAGAAGAAGAATGGTAGGCAGGTAATTTATATCTACTCCAGAAGGTTCATAGCTTGGGTCACTCCTACAACGTCACTCAGCCCTGCCCCACCTTCCGGAGTAGATATAAATTACCTGCCTACCAGAGCTCTTTTTGTAGAAAAAGCCCAGCAGGAACTCATTAGCATAATAGGCCACACCCAACAGCAGAAACTCATTAGCATATTGGGCCACACCCCTGACAGCACAGCTCATTAGCACATTAGGCCACACCCCCATTTTACCAGAAGTGTGGTTATCCAGCCACACCCACCTTTTGCTTGTTATTCTGTTTACCTTGTTTGTTGTCAAAACCCAGGGCTTTTTTGTAGACCACAGACCCCTAATGTAGCCAATCCTAATGCGTTCCTGCTATTGGGTGTGGCCTATTATGCTAATGAGTTCCTGCTGGGCGTGGCCAACTTGGGAGCCAGCCGGAACTCTCTTCCTGTGTGTTCCTGCCCAAAAATAGCCCTGCTGCCTACCATTCTTCTTCTCACCTAGACACAGAGAGTCCTCCATCTTTCTATGTGATACCTCTGAGGATGCCAGTCACAGCTACTGGCAAAACGTCAGGCCCTACAATGCCAAGACCACGGCCATACAGCCCGGAAAATCTACAGCAACTAAATATTACGTACATGGTTTTTTTTGTAAATTTGAAAAATATGCAGATTTGCTTTTTTATCAACATTAAAGGAGACTGCCAAAAATGAAACCAACAGGGGTATAAAAACAGATATTGGTAATGATATTTTTTTTGTCCAACGATATCTGTAGGTTTGATGGGGGGTGCTTTGAGAATGCGTTCACTGTTGCCCTCTTTCTCTGCTTCCCACTCTGCCTCAAGCCTACCCAGGAAGGGGAACACTGGCTGAGAAAGGGAAGACTGATCGGGAGAGGCGTGCCTCCCCTCCACTTCCCCAGCCACCCTACCTGGAGCCACGCAATATGTGTGAAAGAGCCACACGTGGCTCCTGGGCCGCAGTCGGGCCACTCCTGCTGGAAGCTGAGTGAGTGTGAGCTAGCTCACCGTTTTCAAGCTTCCGGCTCACACATTTTAGTCTCAGGAAGGAGGGCTCCAGACCGATGGATGCAGCAGCCAAATCGCCCGCTCACAGCTTTAATGCCAGTCGCTCAAAAAGTAGAACTTTGGCTCACAAGACTACACAGCTTAGAGGGAACGCTGGCGTGGATGTTCTTTTATATCCATGGCCAGGGGTCATTTCCTGCAGGAGTGCACAGGAGCGGAGCTCCGGCAGTAAAGCGCCCAGGGGGCGGGGACATGCAACAAGCCCCGCCCTCTATTCCAGCAGCCCCGGGCCACAAGGAGCAAGAAGCAGTCAGGTAAGTTGCAGAACCCCCCTCCCAGATAGCAATCCAAAACAGTCCAGCGGCACTTTTAAGGCCAAGGTTTATTCAGGTACAAGCTCTCCCTCCTCTGTGAGGGCAGATCTGCATGTTCCCAATAGCTAGCAATCCAAAACAGTCCAGTGGCGCCTGAGCGGTGGGTGTTGCCTTCTGACACACTTCCGGTGATGTCAGGGGGTGTGGCATATGCAAATAGGTTATGCTAATGAGCTATGCTAATGAGCTCCTGCACCTCTTTTTCTACAGAATGACCCCTGTCCACGGCTACTTACCCAGAGTTGCCCGTGGCCGGCCAAATAGCAGACTGAAGATATTTTGACTCTATATTACCCTGGTCTCTAGACGTTTCCTCCTTAGCTTGGCCAGCATATGCTGCGATAAAGCTGTGATAAAACGTATCAAGGTTCGATAGGCGTTATCGGGATCTTAATTAGGGAGAGAGTAATTGCCGGGCTGGATCCGTGCGAAGGCCCAATGCTCCATACACAATGCTGGCCAAGGGAGAAGTCAGCTGACCCTGTGACAGGGATCTGGTTGGTGACTCACACTCTGGCCCTGGAACCATATGCGTACAGGAGACTCTTCCCACCAGTAGGGTTGCCAACTTCCAGGGCCCCCCTGGAGATCTCCTGAAATTTTTTCGGTTCTCCAAACTACAGAGATCGGTTCCTGTGGAGACGACGACTGCTTTGGAAGGCGGACTCTGCCGCTGAGGTTCCTTCCCTGCTCGATCCCTGCCCTCCCAGACGCCACCCCAAATCTCCAGGAATTTCACAACCCAGACTTGGCACCCCTGGCCTTCTGAGGAATCTGCCAGAAAGCTATTTGGTTATGCCGCTTCTGAGAATTGTCAACACCTGCCAGTCTGGTGTCGTGGTTAAGAGCGGCAGGAGCCTAATTTGGAGATCCGGGTTTGATTCCCCACTCCTCCACAGGCAGCCGGCTTGGTGTCTTTGGGTCAGTCACAAGTTCTCTGAGAGCTGTTCTATAGGATTCTGCCCCTCAAGCCTGTCCAGGAATGAGAGGGGAATCCTACACTTTTACAATACATTAAACAATAACCCAGAGAGGTAGGCTACCCTCTCTGGATTCAGAACAATAAGCCACCAGAACCTCTTTTAACTAGAATCCCCTTCCAGGCTAAGAACAAGGTTCAGACTCTTAGCTAGCATCTAGGGCTTAACACATTAGCACCTCATTCCCAGAGATGTACACTTAATGCTCAATGGTAGCGTGTGGCCAGGTAGGCACAGGAAATAGACTTGGAATCCCAGTTACAACATCAGAGACCATTTAGAAACAAGAATAATGTTTATTCAGTCAGAGCTTAGCAAAATAGACTATAAGTTTTCAAAATAAGAAAGCCTAAGGCGATTTGCCTTAACTAAACATTACTGACTCATAGTTACCCCATTCAGGAACATCCAGAGGTCATTTCGGGGGGGATCGCAGTTCCCCCGGGTGAGGTACGGGGGGCGGGGCACATGACGAAGCCCCGCCCCCTGCTTCCGGCCCTCATTCAGCCAGGAGGAGGCAGGAGAAGAGGGAGGGTAAGTTGCTTCCTCCCTGCCTCTCCCCACCCCTGCCTGCCTGGGGCCAGGGAGAGCCTTCGCGGGGCTTCCTTGCACTCCCGTCGGCCTTGCAGGTCCACCGCTGGGCCCCTCATGGGGCTTGGCAGTGGAGCTGCAAGGCCGCCGGTGGCGGCCGGGACCATTGGGGGCGGGGTGGGTGGCCTTATGG